ATTTCCCTTTAGTTGTTTTCTCAAAATATAGAGGTTTAGTGACTGCTTCTACTAGATCACCAAATTTTTATCATCTGGGAAATTTTATAGACTTTGTTATATAAAGGCCTTTGATGATCTCAAAATAAAAATTATGAAGAGTCAACATAACTTTAATATCATGTCATGGGAAATATTTAAAAGGTAATACTCAAGCTTAGTATTTAGAAAGCATTGCTTTTTTACTGAAATGTGGTCCCCCATTATCCCCCATTGCCCCCAGTGGATGCCCCAAACCACGAACAGTACCAGGGCCTATTACACTGTTTGCCCAATACAAACACACTGATGACTGAGTTTCATGCCTTTTCCATCTTAGCTAAGAACGTCCCACACACCATGGTCATAACTTTTTTTTAAAGATTTTATTTATCTTTAGAGGGGAAGGGAAGGAGAGAAGGAGAGAAATATCAATGTATGGTTGCCTCTCGTGTGTCCCCTGCTGGGAACTGGCCTGCAACCAAGGCATGTGCCCTGATTGGAAATAGAACCGCAATGGTGTGGTTCGCAGGCCCGCACTCAATCCACTGAGCTACACCAGCCAGGGCTACCATAGTCATACCTTTTGCAGTTTGAGGTGCAGCCACAAACCAGCATGGATTTGTTTATCCTTTCACAGTTTCTCAGAAGAATCGGTCTTCCTGTAGGTCTCAGTAACTACAGCCTGCGATTTTTTACCTTTCCTTGTTCAGTTGGGAACTTTTACCTTTCCCTTAAAAGGAGCACTTTCCGACTTGTCCGTGGGGTGTATGAATTTCCAGCCACGCTCGTGCTTCGGGTCCACGAGGAAGTGAAATGAGGTGACTGCGCATGTGCGCTGAGAAGCCTGGCTGGTCTGAGTGACAGCAGAGACAGCCACTCAGGGGCTAGTGGGTGGGCGGCACATGCAGCCTGGAGACGCTGGACAAGGAGTGGAGGTGCGGGACTGAACATGAGGATTGTTTGGTTCTGGCGTTCTCCGTTAAATATTTTTGGTTTGCAGTTGGCCACAGGTAACTGAAACCATGAGAAGCAAATCCGTGGACAAGGGGGCTACTGCAATGCCATTAATATGCTTTTCTGTGCGTCTCTGTGTGACGTGTTCATTCATTAACTGTTCAGCTTGGGTAGTTTCCTAAGACATTGTTTATACAAGGACAGTAGTTTGAAAAATATTTAAACTTTTATTTCTGGGTTGTATTGACATCCTTTTATTTTTTGGTATAAATAGCAACAACTCTTTTCACATATTCACTGCATTACATACAGACCATTATATCCTGTTTTTTCATTTAAAAAAAAAAGAGCTACCTCATATCCACTATTGCCATCAGCTATGTACATCAGAACTATTTGCTGCGGTAGTTTTCGTAATTCAGACAGTGCTCAGTAGGACCAATATTTTGAACGAAAGTGGGAGTAGGCGAAAAGTTAAATTTTGATTCCCTCACTCAGAAACACTAGCACATAAGTCCTCTCAGAATCATACCAAATGAGGAATTTGTGAACTAGAACTTTAAAACACCCTGCTTACACTGTGGAGCGGGGCAGAATGAGAGAAGAGGAGCAGCACGCTGATAATAATGAAAACAGGAGAAGAAAAAGCAGGTAAGAAAGAGGAATAAAAGGAAAAGATGCAAGAGAAATGAAAGGATGGTGGCCAATCGATTCATTTATTCATTTGCAACTATTTCTTTTGTGCCCAATTAGTGAGGCTCTGGGAACTTTAATAGAGAATCAGACTAGTCCCGCCCGTTGGACTGATGGAGGAGAGGATGAAACAGAAGTTGGACTGGAATGGAGGGACAGAGGCACCAGCAGGGATGCCCGGAGACCAGATGCCTAAGGGGAGGAGAGATGCAAGATTAACTTGTGCTCACTGTTGTCCCGGCACCACAGTACACCCACCTTCCTCTTCCACACCCACACAGCACCTGCGTTTTGTTTCTGGCATTTTCTCTGACCCTGTTCTGGAGAATGACCCTCTGGGCGCACTGAGGACCACACCCATGCAACCATCCATCTGTAAGAAAAAGACGTTTATTACTCCTTTCCATGTGCCAGACTGTGATGGACACGGAAACACCGTGCTACTGAAACACCATCTTTGCCTCCTGAGCATTTCACAGTCTGGCTGTGTGTGGTGTCGCGTAAGCGGGTGACAGTGACCCAGGGCAGTAAGTGCTGCTGGAAAAAGAAGGAATAGGAAGGAGTCTGTGGCATCAGGTGAAGTTTCCTGGAGGAAGGGAAAGCCACGTGGACATTTCCCTGGTTAGCGCTTCCTTCTTAAAACTCCCTTCAGAATAAGCGCATTTGGTGCAAACCTTTAATTTGCTTCACACTTCAAAATTTTTTTTTTCAATTTTCATTTGGTTTGAAAGTTAGCAGTTGAGATCTCTTGGAACTGGGTTTTCATTGGTTGATGGATTGCTTCAGGTAAATTCCTGATTATACTTTAAAAATATGTATTAAAATTTATATGCCCCCCCAAAAAAAATTCATACCCATTTTTAAAAGTTTAAAGTTACAAAAAGAAAACAGGATTTTTTTGGTTCTGCTTTTTTACCATCCATTTTACACACCCATTTATATGGGCAGTGCACTGTTCCAACTTAATGTAAAACAGAACCCCTGAAAGCACTTTAACTGGTGTGTGTCCTGAAGACGTGTGTACACACCAGTTTAGCTCCTGATTCGAAGCTGCAGTTTTATCAGGCTTTGCAGAAACAGTGCCAACTCCTGACGGGTTGCACTGGATTTCACAGAAAAGCTCTTTGGAGCTGGGGGAAGTCTCGGAGGACTCCAGGCCTTTTTATACTTTGTGTCCTTTCATATAAACCTGATTTAGGGAAGTTCGTCATTGCTGCTTTGCTCCTTACAGAGACGTTACAACCAGTCAGCGCCCATGTGCCTCACTGGCTCCTCTCAGGTCTGCAGCGGCCTCGCCCGCTCTCCTCTGATGCGCTTTGCTCTGTGTTGTCCCCAGTTTCCGTCTCCAGCCCTCTCTGCTCCCAGGGGTCCAGTTGCCCTTTCTCGGGCTCAGCCTGGATGTCTAATAGATCGCTTCAAATTTCACGTAACATTGCAACAAAACCATAGGACCTCCTCCTAACCCCCTGCAACCAACCTGTTCCTTTCATCCATTTTAAAAAAAAATTTGTACACAAGCTTAATAAAGAACCTCCTTTGGCAAAGGCAAGGAAGACACAGGGAAGTCTGCGTGTTTCCTGGCTTGGGATTTCTCTCTGCCGTGGGCACCAGGAGCAGCGGCCGAGGGCCCTGTCCTACCTCGGTCTAGGACATCAGCTTCTTGTTCTGATCCTGAGACCTGTCGTGCTGTGTCTTGGCTGGTCATGTGGCCCGAACTCTGCCTTGGATCCGTCAAGCTGGCCACGGTGCTCACAAGTCACCCAGCCCCCTGCTGCATCGCTGTTCTGCCTTGTGACTCGGACACCGGGGGTTTTCTTTCTGTAGTTACAGACCAGGGTGTTGTTACTTCTCTTTCTCTGAGAATTGTGCAAAGCTGTTCCATAAATGGCAACTGCAGTCATCTTGTTCAGGCCTTAAACTTGAACCTTGACTCTTTTCATTCCCCACAAGCAGCCCATCGATAAGTCTGTTGGCTACCACCCACTTTGCCCCAATTTGACTGCCACCAGAATCCAAGGTGCCATCCTCTCTTGCTGGACTGTTACCCTGGACTCCTAACTGTTCCCTCTACTGCCATCCTTGTCTTCCTGCAGTCCGTACTCTACACATCAGCCAGAATGATCCTTTCAAATAGAAATCGGGTCCATTCTCTCCTTGGCTCAGAATCAACCCAGGGGCTTTCTGTTATTCAGAGTGAAATCCAAACACAGCTCTAAGTTCCTGTGTGACCCAGCGGCCTCTCTGGTCTCCTCTCCTGCCCCTCTTCTTCCCTCCTCTGCTTGGGCCACACTCACCCTCCTGCTCTCACTCCTTCCCCAGGAATATTTCCACCCCAGGGCCTTTGCTCCTTCTCCTGCCACGGACTTCTGTCACCCAGATAAGGACATGTTCCTTTCTGGTCTCTGCTGAAATGTCACCTTCTCCTCAGAGCTCTCCTGAGCCCTTTGTCCTCTGTCCCTTTACCTGTTTCTTCCTTAGCATTTATCCACATGTGACATGTTTCTGTCACTGAGTTTTATCCATCTACCCCACTAGAACTTCAGCTCCATTAAGGCAGAATTTTTTTCCTACTGCTGTGTCCCCAACACTGGCCTGAGGCATTGATGTGTGGCCAGGACCTACACTTTCTTGTCCCAAGTCCAGTGCTGTTTCCATGAGTCTGCGTGGCCTTCCAGAGGTTTTAAGTGCCTTCCGTGTAGTGATAGCACCTTGTATTTCTTTTGCCCCCCACCGCCCCACCGCACCCAGGGCATAGGACCTCGCCGCACACTCGGTGAGGGGTTCCCTGTGCCTCAAAACTGCCGAAGCTGGACCGGGTGGACGTCCCGTGCTCGCTGCGGTGTGTCATCACTTGGATGCAGACTCGGGGTGCACTTCCCCCTTTCTGGGGGGGCTGCTGTGTGTTCCCCGTCCCATACACAGCAGCATTGGGAAACCGCGGGCAGCTGCCGCGAGAAAAGCTCGGAAGGGTCCGCTTCTCAATCAGTAGATGATCTGGGTGCCGAATGTGGAACATTTTGTGTAGCTGCGTAACTTGATGGCAGAGGGGCGGACTGAAATATGGAGGCCCGGTGCTGTCGAAGGCTGACGCTTTTTACAGGGTTTTGGTATTGCTGTACTTAACCTCCTATGTTCTCACGGAAAGTGCGTCCTGGGCGTGTTCTTCTGCAAGTGAGAGAGCGTCCAGGTTTGGCTTGATCTTATCTTCTCCAAAGCTGCCACTAATACGCCCCTAAAATGTGTTTTGAGAGTATTGTTCTCTTGCGTGTAAAGCGTCTCAGGCGACTCCAGCAACCCTGATGGTCCCTCTTTGTTTTTGTTTGTTTTTACAGGTACTCTGCAATGCTTTCACCATCTGTGATGCGGAGATGCAGGGAGTCGGTGTTGGCCTGTATCCCAGGTATGTGGACGGTGTTTCGCTCACTGGAAGGAGCAACTTGATTTCCCACCCAGCCCTCCAGCCTTTTGGAGGTAGTTAGAAAGTTTGTTGCAGCAGCTCGTTCAAGAGCCAGTCTTGGAAGCTGATTAAAAATTACAAGAAAACAATCGTATTACCCCACATTGTGTGCTGTGGCAGCGATTTTCAGCTGGTGTGTCTCAAGAATGTTTAAAACACACCATACCTGACTCTCAGGATGCTGACCTCTTTTCCCTTAGACTATCATATTAAAAAAATGACAACATCCAACATAACAACAGCTATCTGGTGTGAACGAATCAAAATTATACCTCTTTTTTTGGTCAGATCATCAGCAAAAATGTATTTTTGGGAGTGCTGCAGAATTTTAGTGATTAGTTTATGCGTGTGTGTCATGCGATGAAATAGTCGAAAATCTCTGTGCGGTGGTGTTAACGAGGAGGCAGACCTCAGACCTAAGTCCATGTTCTCGGGGACTTTGGGTTAGAAGTCGGGGTGTGTGGGTGCTCAGAAACTGCCAGGATGAGCACTGGTTACTGCTCCCCCCGCGGCCCCGATCTTATCCCCAGCCTCCTAGGCTGAAGCGCTTGATCACTGCCCCAAGACCCGCTGGGCTGCGACGCTGGGGTTCGTTTCGTCTTTTGACTTAGTGCACTCGAGCCCTGTTGCTCCGGGAGGTAGAACGCCACCTGTGACTGAAGTGACCTTGTCACCGAGCTACCAGGTTGTCCTTCCACAGGCTCCCTGGTCACTCCCAGTTGCATCTTGTTTTTGTGCCGTTAGGGTCCAGATACATATACAGTCTTTTCATAATTAATGGTGAGGCTGAGAATTCCTCCTCCTCTCCTATACCTCGGAAATGCCATCAACCAGAGGCCCATTGGTATTGGTCCTCAAAAAGCAGCAACGTGGAATGCTCCAGCACTTCAGACCACCTGGTTCAAGTTCACTCACCAGTCACCGGTCGTGTGTCTGTGGGGAAGTCATTTAACTTCCCCGTTACCAGTTTCTTCATCAGTAAATGATCCTCATAAGATCGTCATGATGATTACTTTTGATAAACACGCCCAGCTGCTAAGAAGTGCTTTGTACACAGTAAATGCTCCCTTTCAGCTGTTCTAACCATTGTCAAACATGGAGGCAGCTTAAATCCATTTCCTTTCCCAGAGAGTAAAAAATGCACCTGTAAGGTTATACACCGGGGCACAGCCTGGATGCACCAGGATCCAGTTAAAAGATAGCCTTGGCTTTGCACTTAGGAGGAAGTTCTCCTGATGATTCTTCATCATAGCCGCGGGTATTCCAGCAGAGGTGGTCGCCCCCCCCAGAGCTGCCGAACGAACGAGGGGCCCCGGGGGAAAGGTCAGGGGAGTGTCGCCTGCAGGGATGACTGCTGCCTCCTGTTACCTCCCACAGATTCTCTTCCCAAGTCAGTTTCTTCCCCATCTTCCTATTGGGCTGTCCTACTTCCTGGTATCTAATGAGACAACCACCTCCTCCCCACCCACACCCCGAAAAAGGAATCAAAAAATGTTTTTATTTACAAACTTCCCCCCTCCATCCCGGGGAGCATTTCAGTTCCTATGAACTGGGCTCCTGACGTGTCTGTGCATGTCCCGAGGACTCAGTCTGTGGTGCACCGTGACCCTTACCTGTGCCCTGGCCCCCAAGCTGAAGTGTCTTGCCTGTGTGTTCATTAAATTTAGATGTTTGGCTCTCTTTGCTGAGCCGTGATGGTCTCCCTCTTTATTTTTTCTTCTCTCCAGTATGTCATTGCTCAATCACAGCTGTGACCCCAACTGTACGGTTGTGTTCAACGGGCCCCACCTCCTACTGCGTGCTGTCCGAGACATTGAAGCCGGAGAGGAGGTAAGGAACCTGCAGCCCCCCTCCTTTCCCGTCAAAGACCCTTGCAGTGTGACCCATCCCTAAAACCATTGAAAAGCTAAGGGACAGCTTCTCATTATCCTTCTTCTAGGCAGAAACCATGTAACACCTCAACTCTGCGACCAACTCACCTGTTGTTACTTCTCCCAGATTATAGATGGGCTGACTTTTTCTTAAAAGCACCATCTTCCTGGACGCTGACAGTCCCTACCATATGCATGTGAGGGACAGGCATGTGTGGGACAGTGTATGTGTTTTGCACGTGGGACAGTTCACTGGCCTCTCTCATTCCTGCAGCTGGTCGTCATCCTCCCTGGGATGAGAGTCAGTGGCCTACTGACTGCTGAGGCCACTGAGCACATTTTGGTGGCGACCTGTTTTTAACCCTTTCATTAAGAAAGCAAACAAGCTTTAGGGTGTCGTCAGGTCCTCATAAACCTACCAGCATATCTGGGCACTTGTTCAAGCAGAGGCAGGAAGGGAATACAGGACAGGGGACATGACCACCCACAGTGCATTGGCCTTGGCCCTTGGCAATGGTCAGACTGCCAAGCCAGCCTCTGATGAGCGACCTTCTCAGAGGTCCAAGGTCTGCAGACCGGCTGCCGACCTGAGCCTGCACGGGATTTGCACGATCACTACCCCGAATTCTGGGTTATAGATGCTTAGGCTTCATAGAATCCAGTTTCCTCCTGCCTTCCAATTTACTAAAGTGGATATTTATTGCAAGGGAAGCGGTATCATAAGATTTTATTGCATTTATGCGGCATTCAGCCAATAAAACCTAAACTCAGAGGTACCATATTTTATGTAGACAAGGATTTGGCCGAGATAAGACTGCCTCCAAACTGATTTTCAACTGAATGAGCTGTCGCCTATATGGGCACTTACTGAATTGCCAGTTTTCAGGACTAGGTACACGGGATGTCTGTCAACAGTCTGGGGAACTGAGATTTTTTGTTCTGGGGCCATACCTGACGGAGTTCAGGGCAGGTAAGAGACGGAGCTGAGAGATGGTGCTGATGTTGATAATCATGATTCTGATGTGATGAGGATGATAGCATTGTTTCAGGAAAAGTTAAAAAAGCACAGGTTACTTGATAAGCAAACAGAAAACCTATTAGAAATGGTTGGAATTTTCAGAAACAGCAGAGAGATTTCCTGACGCCTTGTTTTGTAGGCGCAGCTGCCGGCCACCCGCCCCGGTGGGTTCCCATGTAGCTGCAAACGCTCCTTGTCTTCTGGGGCTCATTTCGCTTTTCCACGCCCTTCTCTTTCCCTCCCTGGAGCGCCGGGCAAGCCCTTCCTCTGGCCTAACACAGGGTGGCTCTCCCCAGCGTCATGCTCCGCAGCACCGTTGTTTTCCCCTGAAGTTCTTGTGAAAGCAGCTTCTCAGCAAAGAGAAGGTTCTCCCGAGTCCTTCACAGACAAGCAGGTTCAGCACATGTTTTCTGCGCCGCTGTATGTCCCGGTGCGTGACGCTTTCTCCACTCCCTGTGCCCGCCTGAGGGTACCCTTTAAGCCCCCCTCAAACACATCTCTTCCGGAAAGCTTTTCCCAGTTTCCCAAATTAAAGAGAGCTCTTTCCCTCTGAGTGCTAGTGGTTATTACTGTTTATTGGCGTTCACTCTGGCTCTTTCCATGATATCTTTATTCAGCCACAAGCTTCATGGGGACAGGTAATGGGTGTCTCACTTTTGTTTGGCCTTCCATTCCGAGCACTGCGCCTTGTCCCCAGGGGTCATTAGGAACTCCTTGATGACTTGACTTTCTGTCAAACGGAGCATACCAGAGAGACCGGCGGTGCCTCTCATTGGGGGCAACACTGACCTTCCTTCTGATGGAACACCTGTTGATTGTGGGGGTCTGTTGTGTCATTGAACTGGGGTCCCCTGCTCAGTCAGTGCCCAGAGCCACCCCGAACACCTAAAATCCATCCTGTACATTTCAAACCACTCCCTTGGGGCAGAGGTAGGGGAAAAGGAGAACCAGGAGAAAAGGCATTAGGAGATTGGTTAAGAGGCAGACGTCTTCCTTTCTATTGTGCAAATGTTTGCTTTAGTTAAATTGGCTAGGGAAGTAGATTTAGTGTATTCGAGTCAACCTGCAGGACGAGCAAGTCCTGAGTGAACTGAGGTGGGAAGAAGGGGCATTGACTGGCCAAGGCACAGGGATACGGTGCACCCTGGCATCGAGAGTGTGGTTTCAGAGATGTAACAGTGCAGCAAATCCCGACAGATTGTGGGGTGTATGGAGAAGCACTGGGCCCAGGAGGGCAGGCAGAAAATGAGCAGGGAGGCCCTTGGCAGCCCTTATCCCACGGGCAGCAGGAGACCCTCAGAAATCTTCCTAGGGAGGAGGACACGGCTGGATGCTGGATGCGGGCTTTAGGCAGATCTCAAACCCATTTAGAAAATAAAGGGAGACTGCAGACAGCAGGGGGCCCTCGAGCTGCCGCACAGTCCTGTTGTTGGCCCCAAGCAGTCCCAGGATGGCGGGGAGGCCGTGAGAGTCTGTCCGTTGGGTTTAAAGGAATAACTGGGTTCCTGCTGCCTGCCTCTGCCCGGCACAGTCACGCGTGCGTTCTGGCCCTCGTGATGAAGTGTTGGGTGAGTAGAGCGTGTTTCTCTAGTGTGGCACGTCCCAGATTTGTTGGCCTCACGCTGGGCACACTGTCATCACCCAACAACTACTGCCAGTTGATCTGATCTGGCGGCAGGGGTCGATGACGTAGGGCCGTCGGGCCGGACTGAGAAGTAGGGTGTTAGAGTTAACCCAGGAGGGAGCACAGGTCGGCTCACCTCCCCGTCTGGCCGCATGTAAGGAAACCGAGGACCGGAGAGCCTGGCAAAGGAAGAAAGGGGTGGATACCGCCCCAAACCTGTTAAGGGGCTGTTTTGGAAAGTGGGCGAGGGAATCGGGTATTTGGAATTTGGGATATAGTGTTGTTCTCTGTGAACAGGAGGCGCTTGCCCGACAGGCCTTGCAGCCCTGGCTTCAGAGCACGAAACAAGAGAAAGATTTAGGGACTTAGCGAGGGGTCGTGGTCTCTACGGAGGGAGCCCAGTTGTCACAGACACTGCTTAGCATGGGCTCGAGTGTTTTAGATATAGTGGTGCTGGGGTGGCTCCTGAAGAAGGGGTCCCCCTTCTTCAGCTTTCCCCTGCCCCCACAGCCCCGAGAAGCACAGGAAGCAACTGTGTTACTGTAAGAAGAGTCACAGGCTCGAGTCAGAGATGTGAGCGCTAGTCCCAGGTGGATCCAAGCCCGTTGCTGGCTTGCACCGTCCCATGCTGCCTGTCCAGGCGGGCGCCAGCCCCTAGCAGAGGCTCAGTAATGCCCCGTCTGCATCTCCAAGGGCAGGAACCCTTGCTTCTGCATGTGGAACAGCGTGTTGTAGGTGGTGAATGTGTGAGAAGCTATGAAGAGCCAACCAGCCAGATGAGCCTGTACCGTCTGTCACCAGGCTCCCGTCCCCTGGTGGTGGCCGAGGAAGACTTGACAGCTCTGGCCGGCAAGACCATGCCTGCTTCCCCGCTGGCTGCCTTGGGGAGGCCCTCCGAAGCTGTGTCCACTGTCCGAGAGGATGGCCGTCCTGCCAGGCCACACACTCAGACGTGCACCATAGTGCGTCGTAGCTCTGAGGTGCCCTCCCCCAACCTGAGAAGAACCACACGTGGAGTTTGTTGCCTTAGAGGGTTGCTGTCATCTCCCGAGGTGGCTAATCCCACCCTCCTCCTCACCTCCAGTACCCCTAACTTCTCCCACCACATAGGCCCCAGAATTATGTTCTCCATGTAAAAGCACATAGGGAATTAATTTATGCCGTATGTCACAAGCTGATAGATGTTGCAGAACCGGGGGAACTGGGCAGTTATTTTGAATGGGGTGGTCAGGTTAGACCGCAGTGGGAAAGTGAGAGGGGACTGAAACTCAGTGATGAGGGAGACCCCCATGGTAGAAGTTGGGGCAGAGGGCATAGGACCAGCCGGCCTCGGGGCGGCGTGTGAAGACAGGCAGAGGCCGGGGGTTGGAGTGGGGAGGAGAGAGAGGGTCAGAGCTGCAACAGGCTGGACTTTGTGAACCTCTGCTCCCCTCACTACCTGTTAGGAAGGACAGATTCCCCCCGCCCCAATTTATTGCACACTGATGTTTTTGTAAAGTCTGATGAAAATTACTCGAAAAATGAAATTTTAAAAAACGAAGAATGTGAAGAAAGCCTCATGTTTTATTATGAGAAGCACAGAAAATTGCTGAACAGAGTTTGTAAATGCCATTTCTTGACTCAATCCTCGGTAGACCCGTGGCATCCTGGACCTGCGGTTGGCCCGGAGGCACGGTTTGCGCTATGGGGTTTCATTGAACGGATTGGCCTTTAAGCAAAGGGGGAGCTGTTGGAGCGCTTGAGCAGCGGAAAGATATGCCCCAACTTCTGTTTTCCAAGCACCCCTCAGAAGATGGGGTGTAGGGGCCCAGGGAGAAGCAGGGAGACCCGCCGCCAGACTTGCGTTTCACAGGCAGTGAGTGGGTGTTGTGGCTCTGCCCAGACCGGTAGCATTGGAAAGAGCAGGAAGTGGTTGGTTCCGGAAGTTTGTTTAAGTTGAGCCCCCAGAATTTCCTGGTGGGTTGGATGGAGGATGAAGATGAATTACTGTCACCTAAGACTGGCAAGGCTCCAACTGAGATGCAGCAGGTTGGGGGAAATCAGGAGTTCGATTTTGTGTGTTTTTGAATCAGACTTTAAGCATCTAGGAGACCTAGTCACGTGAGAAATGTATGATCATCATGAACTGAAAACCTGTACCGGGAAGTGGGCTCTTGGGGCTTGAGGGGACCCTGAGATGTCCCTGGAGTGCACCTTCTCACCTGTGACCTCTCACCATCCAAACCAAATACAGTGGTCACTGTACTCGAAAGGGTCCAAGGAAGTCCATTTAAGAGCCTCCATCAGTGACCGCATCCTGACATTACATTCTCCCTATTTGGGAAATTTTCCACTTCGTTTTTCAATCTGGTCACAAGTAAGACGACAGTCAGCTAATTGCAAAGACACCAGATCTGCTTGACCGTGAACCCACGAGGCGGCTCTAGGGCTGATTAGCACGTAGGAGCAGCCTGGCCGCATCACCTGCCACCCATCTGATCACCAGCATCACTTTGGCTTCTCTGATTACCAGCGATGATGAATTCATCAACCAAACCTAAGTGATACCGAGCGTATAACAGCTTTTGATATTTCAGTGTCCAGTGAATAAAAAAAGATAAGGTGTAAAAGCAGGGTAGAGGGGAATGAAGAGGGGAAATAGAACAACTGTAATGGCATAATTAATAAAATATATATTTTTAAAAAGTGTCTCAAATTAATGAGCTCAGTTTAAAATAAATATATGTGCTCACCATGTAACAGGTCAGAAGGTGTTGCAAGAAAAATTCCACATGTGATTCTTTGGAGACACTATGAATAGTGTCTCCTTGCTCACACTTTTGGGCGTGTGATAAAAACAGGTTTTACTTTAATAATTAGCAATAATAAGTGTTTGTTAAAGACAGTGACCACAACAGCCCTGTGGCCCCTTGTCTCTCTGGCCTCCACAGCTCACTATCTGCTACCTGGACCTGCTGATGACCAGCGAGGACCGCCGGAAGCACCTGAGGGGTCAGTACTGCTTCGACTGCGACTGTGTCCGATGCCAAACCCAGGACAAGGTGAGTTGGGGGGAACCGGCTCGAAGATAACTTCCCAGTGATCCTTCAGAGAACCCCGCTTTTATTTCATTGGTCCAAAAGCACGTGACCCTTATCACCACCCAAGCAATAAGAGGTTCCATCTCGGGTAAGGATCCATGGAGCTCAGAGTCTGGAGGGAATGTGGGCATCAACCATGTCAAACCCAGACCTCTTGACCAAATCTAATGCACCTTCCTCTGTCTCACAGCTTCCTGTCACCGTGGAAGGGGAGAGGTGGCTGGTTTCACTGCAGGAGAGAGGCCCATGAGCTCATCCTAATGATATAGGAGTCAGTGAACTTGATCGATTTTTTATAAAAAAGAAGTTTTAGAAGTCAGTGAAATGGGAAAAGTTCAGTCCACGGCTCACAGCTTCCGAGATTCCCTCTGCTTTAGCGTTAGCCTTTTGCTCCTCGAAAGCCTAACAGGAAGTGCAGGGGCCCAGGCTGACCCGAGCGTGTAGGAAGCAGCTGGCTCCCCAGCCTTGTTCTTCCTGGGGACGGAAAGGCTTTGCGATCTAGTGCCTCACGTGATGCCTGTAGGGAAGACCCTCCAACATTTCTCGAATGAGTGCGTGTACGCTATTAAAATTGGGGTCATGTTCACTTTTTGTTTACGGTTCTAGTTGACATGGCTACAATAGTATGTTAGCAAAGGGCTCGGCTGCAAATAACAGGTAACAGACTCCAGTAGGTGTGGTGTGTTTGTCTCAAGAGTCACGGAGAATCTATGGCCCTGAGACAGGAGTGACTTCTCAGCGATCTCATCCCAGTTCCAGAATCCTCTGTTGTGCCTGCAGCCACCCCTATTATGTGCCTCTTGTCCCCAGGGCCCCCGGATGGCTGCTTTCCCCAGCACCCACTCAGCTCTAGATCCAGAGAAAAAAGAGGTTTATTACCTTTGTATTAAAGCAAAGAACAAAGGGAAGCCCTGCTAGGGATTTCCACCTGCATCTTACTGTTCAGAACTGTCTCATATAATGACAGGGGCAGGGTGGGAAAGGAAAGTGCATTTTCGCCTTCAGCCGTTGTGCGAGAGGAAGACAGGGCAGAACGAGGTTGAGCGTGGTTTTCGGTCGCCATCTGCAGCATCTCCCAAGTTCGCTGAGACCATCTCTTCCCTCGTTGAGCTCACAGTTTGTTGAATATGGTGTTAGGATGCTACAGAGAAAGAGAGTTAACAGGGGTGTGTGGGGAGTGTGTTTACAGCCCTATTGTCTCACCCTGTACACTGTGTGTGTGTATGTATGTAATACATTCAGCCATAAAAAACAAGGGAAGCCTGCCATTTGCTAGGACATGGGTGGACCCCGAGGGCGTTATGCTAAGCGACGTGAATCAGAGAAAGACAAACTCGGCCTGTGACACAGGCGGCTTGGGCGGGATGGTCTGAAGGTCCCCTGCAGCGCGATGATCTCGTGTTTCTCTGAAAGGGTTCCTTGTGGACGTGAGCAGTGTGTGTATTTCGATGAGAATGTAAACTCGATTTCAATTAGTTCATCAGTTATATTTTTAGGTCTCTATATGACAATTTTATTCTGTTTAGCAATATAAATATCCCTTTCAAAATCTCTGTGCTATTGATTGGCTTTGAAAAAAAATAAGTAAATTCAGCTTAGTGCATTCCCAAAAGATCATATATTCAAACTTCAGTCAAAAATAAATTTACTTCAGTTCCTGCATTCTGAGTTCTCAGGCCTATTTTTCTGCTTTTCCTGGAAACTAGAAAATCCACCTGGACAGGCTCTGACGTCACACGCTGTTGACTGTGTGCCCCCGTGGCCACAGGTCCGGCGTCCCACAGTATCACGTCTCAGGACTTCCAGTGGTGGGCCTCGTGTTCATGTGTGGAGTTGCTGGTCGTTTGTCAGCAGCAGCAGCTTATTGTGGGGAAGGAATAAAATTTGCCTTCTAAGGAGGTTTTAGATGATGTGCCTTCGGCTGTGACCTGCCCAGGTCAACAACAAGGAAGGCAGTGGGAGCAGACGAAATGGACTGTTTCCGTAAGTTGTGGGGAGAACCGAGCTCGCTTCCTTGGGTGTCACGTGTCTTGTTGTTTTTAAAAAAAGGCATATTTACTTGCCATGACATTTTTTCTTTCTTAAAGCCTGTTACATTTGATCCTTCTTATAAAATAGTGGCCACCGATTCACTCGTAGCTCTGACCCCTCACTCCCAGGTGGAAATAGCCCCTGGTCGGTCACCCAGCCTTCAGTTCTGCCCCTTCCTGCATCTTGCAGACTGTTTTATAACATTTTCTTAAGTACGCTGTTTCTGTGGCAGGTTTACAGCGTTTGTCGTTATCTGTAGTCTTCAGGATGAACTCCATGCTCTTCCCTTGGTGTTCAGCATCTTGCAGAGTGATAACCCCACGATCGTTCTGTTCAGTACCTTTGTTTCTTTTCTCTTTTGTTGTTTTTCTTTTCTCCTCATCACTTGTCTCTTATTTTTCAACTTGTTTTTACCTAATTATACCCTTTTTTTGCCCAAAAGATTCTGCGGCAGCTATAGGCTCACCTGTACACACATTCACACGCACGCATGGGGTGGTCAAAAGGAGGTTTGCGGTCGTCCACACGGGAAAAAAAATTACCTAAAAGTTAAATTGTAAATATGGATACGAAGTCAGGACAACAATCATAATAAGACAAGTAATACAAATCAGTAATACAGTAATAAATAATAAAAGAATAAACTTTCAAATACTCAGTGTAACCCTGCTTTTGCCCATACCTGCGTAATTCAACAGCAATAAATTTTATAACGATTTGTGAAATAAGAGTGCCAAGAAATGCAATGAAAGTAGGTTAGTACCCAGAACGCATGCCACGGGACTGCATGTACAAGGAAGAAGTGCAAAATGTGCTCTAAATTTCCCAGCAGCCCAACCTGCAAAGCTCACTTCACAGTCTGTGTGTGAGGTCTGCGGGCGAAGTGCAGCTTGTCCCACGCTGAGGCCCCCACAGCGGACCCGCCGAGACCGAATGGCCACAGTTCCTGTCAGCACCACAGCCATTTACATCGCTCATCTTCTATAATTTTTATAATTCTTCAGTGTGGCTGCTTGACATATGCTCAAATGATAACTTTAGGAAGTAATTAAAAGGGTAGAAAAACAGGTGATCAAGGTTCTTATGGCTCCGATGCTTTGCTTCATTGCAAGAATAAAACCTAGACTAAACAGAAGTAAGCAGGGCTGCCTGTCCATCGTGATCTGTCATTCATGTTAATTTCTCGCAGTATTAAAATGTTTTATTATAATTTTTGTTAAGGGGGTCCATGTATACAGCTCGAAAAGTCAAAAGTACTAGAACCCAGTGGAAAACTAATCAGCACCCATTCCTTCTGCCCCTGCCCTTGTGCTGCTGCCCCATCCGGCTCCACATTTTTGCCATGTTTTCCCACAAAGCAAACCCCTTTAAATTGCGCCCTAGGGAAGTTTTTCACTATTGAGTTGGTTTAGTGACGATTTTTTTTTTAATTTCTAGGATTTTCAATTCACTTTTCCACCCTGTCTCTGGGCTTATGTTTTATTTTGACCCATTTCTGTTCCCTAACTTCTTATTCACTGCTGACGCATGCCACTTGGTGCTTTGTGCATTTTTTCAGCATCCTAACCCCGCTTGCTTTAAGTCTTGGTCCGTCAGTTTGACCCTATTGAAGTCGTGTTCTGATTGTTGTTTTTTGTTGGTTATCTTCCTTAGCATTGCATTTCGCTTACATGTTTTAGACTTTGGGAGAGCAGGCTCATTTTTTTAGCTCCTTTTGGTTTTGTTTCTTTCCCCCTCAGTGTGCTCCACCCTGCCCCTGCCCCGTCTGGAACTTGCCTCTCCCGGGCCCCTCATGGCCCCGGTTTCTGAAACGGTGTCTGGAGCATTGCAGTGATGTGGATGCTGTTTCAGATCCCGTGACAGAGGCGATGGGTGTCTTGGCCCCGGCTCCCTAATAATCTTTAGCCCAAGGGAACAGGTCATGAGCCCTTTATCTTTAGCTTTTTTAAAAATAACCAAGGGAGCCTCACCTTCCCCCAGCTTTAAGTTGTGAAGCTGACTGTACTCACCTCTCTAAGGTGAAGCATTTTTATTCCATTTTAGTTCCTGAGACTGAATTCCTACCCACTTCTGGGCCTGAGGTCCTAGTTCTGCTTCGCATTTCTGTTTTGTTTTTGGTCCAGGGAGATGTTTATCCTGGTTTTTGACCCCATAAAGCTATTTTTGGTTTCTCTTTTAATAATTTACTTACCGTTGCTTCGGGTTTGGAGTGGAGGGGAGCACCTCAGAGTCTGAATTGACAGCGTCTTGACTGGAAGTCTGTAGTTTGCTTGCCAAGTGCACAGGTAAGAACTCAGGTCCTTGGAAGCAAAGGAAAATGTGAGGCTAAACAATGATCTCATCCTCCCAAGCACTTCCAGGCACTTGCGCCCCTTTTTCCCCGGGGCCTGCCTGTGGGCAGCGCAGGGCTGTGTATCTTCTGTTATCACAGGGCCTTCTAAGGGGGGCGTGGTGTGGAGTCACTCAAAACCCAGTTTCATCAGTGGCTCCACGGGGCTGGGGGGGAGGGGGAAGCCCTAACATGCTTCTCCTTCCCTGATCCCCCAGTTCCAAGTGTCCACTTCGTCCTCTCTTCTGCTGCTGAAACAGAGCAGGGTCAGTTACTATCTTTGTAATTATTTCAGCTGCTTTCCCGAAATCCCCTTTTGTAACACGGAATTCCCTTTCTTGGGTCCCTTCTGAGGCCCTCCCCGACATCTGGGAGCCAGGGAACCTTGAGGCAGGCCTGTGCCCTGCAAATAAAGGGCTTGGGCCGGCCCTGCGTGAGGACCGCCTCGGCCCCTGCACGCACCGTGCCTCCATCAGGCTGGCCCTGCACTTGGGGGCAGGAGGCAGGATTGAGCCAAAGGAAAACACGATAATTGTCTGAAGAAGAAATAACAGAACATTCCAGTTAAACCTGCTGTCAAAGGACCGAGAGTTCTCTGCCC